CGAATTAAGGGGCTACACACCCCTTAATTCGAACTATCTAGTTCGAACTAGGCTTAATCCTCGGAGCGCTAGTGTAGCGCCTATGAAAGTTAGTTCGAACTAACGTCTGTTAGTTCGAATTAACTTTGTAGTGTAGACATACCCAGAGAGATAAGCTTCTGATGAAATATGTAGCTATTCAAGGCAGTGTTTTTTCCAAATACACATTAGAAGAAAGTCTGCTTTGTTTTATATATATATGTATCTTTATATATATATCTTCAGGGGGTGGGTGGGTGAGGGAGGAGGAATACCTTAAAAGAAATTTTAACACATCCAAGCAGTTTAAATTTAGCTCCCACATCTCAATTTACACCATCCAAAAAGCTCTCATATTTCAGTTTACATAATCAAAAAATTCCAAAATATTGTTTCCACTCCATATAACACCATACAGAAACCACAGTAATTCATGTGGTTATTGCAAGAGCAGAAGTCCAGCACTCTTGGGACCTGACCAGTACTGGACAAGGCCGTTGCTGCACAAGGGAAAGTCAGGGAGTAAGGAAGGGGGGGCACCAACCTTCTTGTTGGGTTCCTCCCTGTAGACTCCTAGCCAGATCTCCTGGCTACACAAGCTTTGGCAGCCTTGCCAAAGTTCCTGACCCTGCAAGCTGTAGCAGCCCCTCTGGATTTCCTGGCAGCCCCACCGACCTTGCAATAGCCCCACCAGAGCTTCCAGTAGGCCTGCTGCCCTGCCACTCTCCCTTTGTGGCTACTTGCCAGCCCATCAGACCTCCTGCTGGTCCCACCAGCTGTGGGTTCCACTGCCCCATAAGCTCTGTCCCCGCCTTCAAGCTCTGGTGCCACATGGGCTGCTGGCCAGCTCTGCTCCAAGCCAGACCACGGGAGGTCAATATTCTTTAGCTGCATTACCAACACTTCCACTGCTTACTGGGCCCTACAAAGACTGGGCTGTTACAGCGAGATAACAGCACAGAACATTGAGAGCTGTAAACAAACCTTATGGGACTGCTGGAAACTTTGACATCTGGCTAAGTACAGTGATGCTGGGCCACAGATGTCTCCAGACCAGATAGTGCCAGACTAGAGAGGTTCAACCTGTACACACATTTTCTGCTTTTTAATGCTCTAGTTATCAAAGTACCTTTGAAATCAGTCATCTTAAACCATACAGAGCCTCATTTTCCCCCAGAGATGCTAGGAAGCCACCATTTCGGTTGAAATCACTGGGAACTGCCATTGCTCAGCACTTCTGAAATATCCAGTCTTCTGGATCTGCATAATACATTTTACTACACTGTTAAAGCTATGGCAGATTGCCTCAACATACCACAACTTTCACGTTTGTGTCTGAATCCATACAAAAGGTGTAATCAACAATAGTTCTTCTTTTAGAAGGGTACTGCCTCCACAGCAGTGTCTTGCCACTCAGTGTGCAGTCACATAGCTATAG